ACTTTGCATTGGACATTGTAGCCATTTGCTTTGAGCAACTTGAAGACTCAACCACCTTTTGTACTGAAGCTTCTGCCATTAGAACTCCTCTAACTCAACTGCAAGCAATAACGGACGCTTGAAGACTTCACTCAAGCTTCAGGTTCGAATCTCAACAAACAGAATCTGCGGTTGCGTTCGGAACAGTCGATTTAGCTAGGAACAAGTATTCTAGTGTAAAAAACAACCCAAAATTGGCTCAAAAATTGACCGAAACCTTTTATGAGGAATATTCCGTTAGAGGAGAGAATATTTTGTTCGAAAATGATCCGTAGCTCGAATGCGTAGAGCCCGAATGACCCGAATGGTACGGAAAATATTATCTTACCGGTAAGAGAATAAAAAAAAACTCTAAAACAATGTCGTTTTGGGATTTCGAACCATTCGAGCCTTTAATATTTCGAGCTACGTAGCAGAATTGTATTTTGTTAAAGTGAAAGAATATTCCGTCCGAGAAAGGAATCGATCGTTCAATCTTACTATGACATTAACGTGGTAGGGTTTGCTGACATGGTTGACACATGGAACACCTTGTCTAATCGAGTGCTGACATGTTAATGACGGGGCTACGATGTGGTAGATGGCATAGCGCTGATGTGTCGCTGAGCTCAGCTGCCTATGTGGACTGATTGACAAATGCTGATGTGGTTCTGGTTGTTTTGGCTTCAACGTGGTGCTAATCAGCTCACTTGATCGGCTGAGAGCTAGGCTTCCGAACAATAGTGTTGCATCACGCTGACGTTGAGCTGATGTAATAGCCAGACAGATGAAGACAACGAGTGGAGCGCATGCTTGAGAATGGTGTCACGCGCTGATCTTCAAGCACTGTGTGAGAGAGCGTCCGTTGGAGTTTGGCTTTGATCTTTACACCGTTGGACTATTGGTGATGAGAGGATCAATTTGGTGTAATCAAAAGTTTAGTTGAACAGAGTTGGTTTCAAGGAAGTTTTGAAAAACTGAGCTTCGGAGCAATTTTTTCGCAATCTGGGTGCTCTGATACTAGATTGTTGTGCTTAGGGCCCAAAAACTAACACAAACAAGCAACCAAACAAAATCACACAAAGATTTTTGTGGTTCGGTGAGGTGCCTACGTCCACGGGTAACAAAATTCCACTAAACTGAATAAAGAAATTACAAAGCTATTTATTTCTCTCAACTTGACCTCACTCACTCTCTTTCTACTATTCTTGGCTAAGACTTAATGCTCTTCACTGCTTGCTCTTGCTTTCCTCCTTATCTCCCTATTTATACACATATTTTTTGGGACAAGTCGAAAATTTTACAAGGCATCCACTTGCCTACTTGCTTGCAAGTTGATATTGTAGGTTCAGCTTCTAGATTTGAAAATTGCCAACTTACTCTTCTAGAATCTAAGCCAACCCAAGTGAGTCAACTCAATGAGTTCACCCAATACAATATATATATATATATATATATATATTCTCTCTATATCTGTTTGTGAGTGAGAGTCAACAAAGGGATTGTTTGGGATGACCTAAATAAGTGTACTTTTTGACTTTTTATGAAATATGGGTTGGGTTTGGATTGGGTTTGAAGTGATATGTTAGAAAGGTGATGTGACTTAAATAAGATGATGTGACTTAAATATGATAGTTACTTTTTGACTTTTTGTCTTTTTCAAGACATGCCAAACTTGGCCAAAATCTGCAACTTATAACATGTATCTGATGGAATGATAGAAACATTTCTGGCACACTCTCCAAGGGTTGTATTGTAAAATAAGCTAAGCTAAGTCAAATAGCAAAATTGTTGAAACCCAATTTAATAAGTAAACGAGATTTAGGCCTCGTTTGGGAACCTTTCATTTTAGTTAAAAAGTCAAAAAGTTACTAAATTAGTCAAAAAGCCAACAACTCATACCAAAAAGTCAAAGATTCTCTTTTCTCTTTACTTTTTACACATCTTTTCGTAAAAAGTCAAAAAGTCATCCCAAACATACTAGTTTTTTTTAGCTCATATTTTAGCCAAATAACTAAAAAATTACTAAATTAGCCTGTTCCCAAACGAGACTTTAGAGCGTGTTTAATAGAGATGTTAAAATTGTGTGATTGTATGTTTAGTCGAATAGTAAAATCTGACCTTGGTTTAAGCGTCTCCATTAAAAAATACTGTTAGAATGTGGCCAACTTTTAACATTTGTTTTTAATCTCTTGTTTTGAGCAAGCCTTTAATTCAGTCATCATGTGTTGACCCCACATGTAGTTTGTTACAAATGATGCTAAAAGTACATAGTTAATAACTTAATATATTGAGCTGATTTGGAACCAAGAACAGTAGATCAATAAGTTTTTACAAATAATAATTATTCATCCCATTAAAAACATCACCACTAATAGCACTAATGCATTAAAAAAGTAAAAAAAAAAAAAACATTTTGGTAAGAGAAATACTTACACTCAACTCAGTCCTCTCTCTCTCTCTCTCTATCCCTGTGTGTGTCTAACTTGATCGTCGGAGGGTTTTCAGGCCACACACCGCCGGGTAGCTCACTACTGTTGTGCACGCAGGTGATCAGATAGAAACGGAGCTTAGAAGAAAGGAATACAGGCTCGCCTGAACATTTGCTCCCCGTACAGTTCTCATTCATGTTGGCCATAGTTCTATAATTATTAGTAATGTACAATTCTGAATAAGAGAAAACAACTTTGGCTAATTATAATTTGAAGATTTTCAATGAAAATCGACTCAAACTAAACCAAGTTTTACAGATGAACATTGAGGTTTTACAATGCAAGTATTGATAGAACAACTGGGCATATTTTCTATGTAATCTTAACATGGTTCCTTCATATTTTTAAGTCTTTTAAAATAATGTTTGGATCTTAAATTTGTAGGGAGAGGGAAAAAAAAGAAGAAGAAGAAGATAAAGTGTAAGAATATAAGTTAAATTTTTTACTTTTCATTTCTTTTCCCTTCTCAAATCAATGATTCAAATACAGATGCAAGTGAGAAAAATACTTCTATCCACTATAAATTTTGGGATTTTGGGTTGTAGCCCCTTTTTTAAAGTTTTATTGTCAAAAGAATATGCGACGAAGTTTTGAAGCATGAAGGACAATGCACACCTCATTTACCAAATACTCTAATTGTTTAATTTTATTTTTAAAGGAGTAAATTCTATTTTTACACACTTAATTATCTCAATACACATCTTTTTTTAGTATACACACCTATTAATTTGATTATTAATTAATTTTCTCAATTCACACACTAAAAATTATAATTATACTATTCACTCATAACCATTGTACACACATCACTTAATTCTCATTTCCACACACTTGTTGATTAACCCTATTTCCACATTTACAGACCCACCCAAGTGAAGTGAAGACACTTTTCCTTTTTTTTTTTTTTTTGATCGGGAAAGAAAAATTTCATTAATAGCATGAAATTAAAAGTACAGAAAGATGATATGCATCGGGAGAGATTCGAAAAGTACAAATTACCCTTACTAATACTACTCGCACTCATACAACCAACCCCTCAGCCTCACGATTTTGGGATACATCTCTAAAGGTATATTTTTGAGATAGATACATCTAAATTTAAATTTTGATAATACTACATACCTTTATGTCATAAAAAGATAGATACATCTAAATTTAAATTTTGATAATACTACATACCTTTATGTCATAAAACATTGGTTTTGCAATATTGCAAATAAAATTATTACAAAATGGAAGAGGAACACAATAAATCTGGGAATTCCGCATGTTCAAATAAGTGCACGATGGGTGTTTGGGATTGATTTTTTTATTAACTTCTCTTTGTTTCAGTAAACTTTTTTTTAAACAATACTAATCTCATTTAATTCAGTTCACCAAACAAACATGACCGACGGAGAGAATTAGAAATATCTATTTTGTGGGATGAAGCTCGTTACATTGATAGTAGATAACTGGGGACCAAAACGAGTAGAGAAACTAGAGCAAACTTGAAAAAGAGTGTCCAATTTTGGATGAGCTAATAAATCAAAATTGAAACATAGCATTGACAGCAATACTACAAATGGAAAAGAAAAGTTGTTGTTCTTATTTAATGTAACAAGGACATTTTACTGCTAAGTTTGTTGGCAGTAGTCCTTCGCCAGCATTTGGTGCGAGAAGCATCATTTGATGGTCCTAAATTCTGAACAATAATTCTGCCGACACAAAATTTATCACAAAAAATAATTTAAAATATACATATCAATCAATTAAACCGCCTTTTATTGTTTCACTTAAGTTGTTCCAATCCAACTACATTTGTTATATGATCAATTCTGTGGGGAAAAAAAAAACGACTATTTCATCAGAATTTGTATGCAAAATTTACTTCTAGAATGATATGGGTGTTGTAGGCTTGTAATGAGCCTTGTATTGCTGAATGAATAGACCATAATAATTCACATGTATGACAATTTTGTAGTTGATTATGCATTCCTAAAATTATTGAACCTCGAGAAACCATGTCACATGGTTGTTGAATAGGTGGTGGAGGGGTGGTACAGGTGATAGTAGCGGTTCGTAGCAGTAGTGGCATTGGTATGACATTAGTCTAAAAAATATTTTCCATTTAACTTGTATTCTGATGATAACGAAAAATCTCTTTTGTTGACTATCATTTTTCATTGTACCAAATGTAAGAAAATGCAAAAAACAACCCGATGGAGCGTAAATAAATGCTGAAAAATACTTTCTGGCCAAACAAAATTGTGTAATTTGATCTACTTGTAAATCCTATTCCAATACTTTTTCTGGGTGTAGTCCTTCATGTTCATGCATCATGGAGGGATGGCATGCTTATGATTAGACAAGTTGTTAATTGATCTCAACTCTCAAGTTTTTCACAAAATTTAACCATTGGATGTGAAATGGTTTAAAAAACAGAACAGAAAACACCATCTATGTTCTGATTCAGTTTATAGTAATCAACACATAGAAGTATATCAACTGCTTGAACAAATTTCATAAGCCGGCTGGTAAATCGAACAAGCTCCAATTATTATCACTAATCAAGTTTGCAGAAATCTTGGACTGATCATCATCAGATGAAAATAATCCAAACTCTTGCAACTCCTCCACCGTTGAAAAAACTGGCAAATTCGCATCAGATTCAGACCACAAAAGCTCTTGACCCAACTCATCAACAAGCACAGTTTCCGATCCGAAACAATTCAGATCATCATGACCCATAAACCCATGAACCCCCTCTTCTCCTTGAACCTGATCAAACACCTGAGGAGGAATCCCATCATCAAGTAACTGAGTTGATTGTGAATCTCCAACACTGGAACTCTGGTTCAAGAACTTGGCATAGACATCGGCTAGATCAATATCTGACCCACCTGGTGGGGGGACCAAAGGTGATGGGTCAGTAGATGTGGTGGTGGGTAGGTCTAGTGGGGTGGGACTGTGAGAGGTAATGGTGGACCGGGAAGCCTTGGCACGGCGGGTTTTGCGGCAGCCACCGCCGACAGGGACGTTGCGGAGGGAACCACCTTTGGTCCAGTACCTGCGGCAGCCTTTGCAGAAGTACCTAGGCTGTGAGAAACTGTAATTGTTGTAGTAACAGAATTTTGTGTTTGTGGAGGCACATCTTGGACAATTGGGTGCTATCTCAGCAGCATTGGACTTCCACTTTCTTTCCATCACCAAAGGTCTTGGCTGGCACTGCAACATTTGATGATCACTAGTTGTGTACATGGTATAGCAATTGTTTTTAGAGAGAGAGAATTGAGAGGTGGAGAGAGAGAGAGTGATGGGGGCAGATATGGAGGGAGAGAGAAAGAGAGTTATATAGTGGGACGGAGTGGAATGGTTGGATACAGTAGAGGGGAGGAGTGGGCGGTTTCGGAGCCGTTATGATTAAGGAAGGGAGGAGGGAGTGAATGTGATGACGAATCACGATTGTATTTTACTGTTTCATAGGCACATTCAGCTGTGAATTGGATTACGTGGCATTTTTTGATTGGGTGTCTTCGACATGCTCGTGGGTCAAAGATATTTTGGGTGATTCTTTATACTTATCTTTAATTCGTCTGGATGGAACAGGCTTGCTCCAGCTAGTTAGCTTCATTATGAATTACGTGGCATTTTTTGATTGGGTGTCTTCCCTGAAAATTTAAAAATTAAATACTCAAGAAAGAAGAAAGAAAAATAAAACATTAAACCTCACTTTTAACGCTACAACAAAAATCACCTTTGGCGACTAAATTTTTAGTCGCCAAATGTTCATTTTTAGTCGCCAAAAGTCACTTTTATACCTTCCCCGATTGATTTTTTTTGTCGCCAGTGTTGTCGCGAATAAATGGTCGCCCAAGGTTTTGGCGACTAAAAACGTTTTAGTCGGCAAAAAGTCAGGTCTTCAGCGACAAAACTTTTGGTCACCAATACTCAATTCGACTTTTTCAAATTATCCATTTAGCGACAACTATTTTAGTCGCCAATAGGTCATGAATCGCCGACTAAACTCATTAGTCGCCCAAAACAACATATTTGGCGACGAAACAGTTTAGTCGCTGAAAGCATTTTTCCGAAAAAAAAAAATTTAGCCTTTGTTACTCCCAGGTTTCGAACCACTAACGTCCCAGCCTCTGTAAACCTTTACCAACACTCTCCCCACTACGCCACAAGAACATCACATGAATATAAATGCAACATATATTATTTATATAATATATTGACCGATATTAATAGAAAACAATATATATAAAAATAATTATTTTTATTTAATATATTTTACGAAAAAAATAAAGTACTTACTAAAAAAAAATAGGGGAGCACTTTTGGAGACTAAATATGAATTTTAGTCGCCAATTCTATGCTTTTTGGCTACTAAATGCTGTTTTGTCGCTAAATACGTTAATTTCCGCCCAAAAAAACAACTTTCGGCGACTAAAACTGAGTTTAGTTGCCGACTAAACTCAGTTTTAGTCGCCATTTGTCCACTTTTAGCTACTAAATTTTTTTTAGTAGCCAAAAAGTTTTACTTTTGGCTACAAAAAATTTGTTTGTCGGTAAAACACCTATATTCGGCGACTAAAGTATTTTTTAGTCGCCAAAACCTATAGTTTTGGCTACTAAATGCTTTTAGTCGCCAAAAACCGTGCCTTTTAGCTACTAAAATTTTTTCAGTCGCTAAAACTCCTATATTCGGCGACTAAACTGACTTTTAGTCGCTAAAAGCCCTATATTCGGCGACTAAAGTGCTTTAGTCGGCAAAAGTGCTCAAGTTTGGCAACTAAACTGATTTTAGTCGCCATTTGTACTACTTTTAGCGACGAAAATACTTATTTTAGTCGCCAATTCTGCATTTTCTTGTAGTGGTAAGTTGCCCTTGCTTGGTAAATGATTCTTACAATTTGTTAGGTCATCAATTCCCTCACCAAAAAGTTCAAAGTTTAGAAATCATGAATTACATCAGTAACTAAAGTTAAAAGTATAATTCGAAAGACTACAAAAATTTAATTAAAATTTTATCATAAATAAAGTATAGGTTTAGATTTAAAGTTAGTTTATTGTGAGTCATATGCAGAATGAGTTTTGTCAACATATTTGATGTTAATGTAAACCCACATACTCCACCTACTCCACTTACTCCACTACACCTACACCTACTCCACCTACTCCACCTACTCCACCCACATCTCCTATATAATGTACATACAATATAACAATCAAAATCAATAAAATCAATATATACATAATTGTTTCTCTCTTTCTTTCTCTATACATTTATTCTTACAATACAATCATCCACAAACAACAGATGAGAGGTTAATAACTTCTTGTTAATAATTCTGCAATAGTCATCATCATTTGTTAATTTCAGAGCATTGCTATCCAGGTGTTAATGTAAACCCACATATTCCACCTACTCCACCTACTCCACTCTCCACCCACATCTCCTATATAATGTACATACAATATAACAATTAAAATCAATAAAATCAAATATATACATAATTGTTTCTCTCTTTCTTTCTCTATACATTTATTCTTACAATACAATCATCCACAAACAACAGATGAGAGGTCTTTAGCCCACGCCTACTAACTGAAATGCCCCGACAGACCCCTTGAGACTCCAAATGTTCAAAGCTGGATGAAAGAACCTGAACTACTATAAAAAATAATAAAGGAGATAATGGATTACCCTGACGTAACCAACACTGAGGCTGAAACCAGTCCGGGCCATCATCACCGATAGCCTCACTCACCTTGGCTGCTTCATGTTCTTCTCAGGCCGAACCTTACACTAATCCAACACCCAGAGATCCTATTGAACTCCATCTGCACACACTGATAAACATACCACACGCACACACAGCCGATACACCAGGCATACACCTGCACACGATTCACACAGATCACAGCCCAGCTCACACACACCAGCGATGCATGATCTCTCTCGGCCATGCATTTTTGGGAGGACATTCTATTCTCTCACTCTCTCTCTCTACAACGCACACGGGTTTCTCTCTCTCTTTGAGGGGGCCACCTAGTCAAACCCTCTTCCTCTCTCTCTTTCGGCACCTCACAGCAGATGCATACACCCACGGCCATGAGCTCTCTCTTGGCTCTCTCTATGGACAACACATGCACTGGCTCTTTCTCTTCTCTCTCTATAACACACTGACTCACGGCATAGACATTGATCATTCACAAACACACACCAGCTCTCACACACAGACTGAGCTCCTTCTCCCTCTCGGCTCTCTCCATAGACACAGCCCACATACACACTGACAAACACACACCCTTATGGAGGGTAAAATTTATTTAAGGAAAAATTATTTATAAGTCCTATTAGGAAAACTTATATTACATATGGTCCTACTAAAAAACTTATGTTCTCATAAGTCCTGTGGGAAGTTTGTTGACACATTTACCCTCAATATTAGTTATTAATACCATAAATAATAGTAAAACCATATATAGGAAATTGAATGTTACTATAGATCATATCTATATAAACGTAATGTAACGTGACACCTACATAAACGTAACGTGACACGTATACGTAACGTGACACCTACATAAACGTAACGTGACACCTATGATCTATGGTAACATGCAGTTTCCTATAACATGCAATTTCCTATATAGGAAATTGCATGTTATCGTAGATCATATCTACATAAACGTAACGTAACGTGACACCTACATAAATGTAACATGACACCTATGATCTATGGCAACATTCAATTTCCTATATAGGAAATTGAATGTTACCATAGATCATATCTACATAAATGTAACGTGACACCTATGATATAGCGATCCCTGTTTTCCCTTCCTTATTTATTGTTTTCCGGACTCGGTTCTATTGATAGTTGTTGTTGTCTGTATTTCATTCCCGTCCTTTAACTCTTGGTGTTTGAATTTAGAATTGTCTCGGGCGTGTTTTGAACAGGTTGGTTGAGCGTTTGTCCCAACTCTTGTTGCCGAGATTTTTGGTGATCTGCTCGAGCGGGTCTTCTTACGCTCGAGCAGAGTTTGCACACCTTCAGTAATTTGTCCATCTGCAGAAGTACTGCAGATGTGTTTTTCACGCTCGAGAGGATTTCTTTACGCTCGAGCGGGTCGCGCTTGAGCAGGTATCTTTGCGCTCGAGCGGGTGTTCAATGTCTGTAAAAATACTGGAAGAGTGTAATCTACGCTTAAGCGGAGTTTTATTTGCACTCGAGCGGGTGGAGTTTTGCAGTTGTGTCTTGGCGCTCGAGCGGGTATATTTGCGCTCGAGCGGTCCAGTTTTTGTATTTGACGCTCGAGCGTCCTATTCTCCGCTCAAGCGAGTCATACGTATATCAGTTGGCAGCTGGGTCATTTTAGATCACTTTTTCAACTCTCACTCTCTCTCTTACTTTTCAAAATCTATTTTGAGAGCTTCTCTCACTATATTTCACCTTCTCTCTAAGGTTTGATCTAGTTCTGGTGTGTTTCTAGCCTTGTTCCTTTGTAAAAAGTGTAGAGCTTGGCTTGGGCTATCTATTAATCCGAAAATCTTGGGGTTTGGAGCACTTTCGATTTTTTTCACCTTCTCTTTTGGGCTCCGAATTTGAGGTAGGGATAACTACTCATATTTATGGTCTTTGACATAAACTTGTTGTCATTTTGATGTAATGTTGAAGTTGGGTAATTGTGGGTATTAGGGTTTCAATATGAAAAGAGGGGTTTTGTTCTTTTGGGCCAATACATGTGTATTTGGGTTCTAAAATGAGATGGTGGTTGTTTAATGATAATATTTGGACCTTTGGGTCAATATTGAAAAAAGGGAAAAAAATGCCATATTTGGGTTTTATTGGGTCATTAGTGTAATTAATGACTTTTATTGTGAAATAGTGAAATTGGGAAGTTATGAGAAAGAATGGTGGAGTTGGATTGATTAATCACTCACTTTTAAAAATATTGATAATTTATCTGGTGATGCATTTATTATCTGTCTAGAAATAATTGCTTTGGACTATCGGTGGAGGATAGTCGTGATTGTTATAGACACTGTATGTTGATTAGGGAAAACTAAAACTAATCACATTGAATATGTCATTGAATATGACGGTTGGAATAATACATTGAATCTGTGTATTGATTTATCGTGTATATGATAATTGTTTATATACATTGTTTTGTGTGGGAGAAGATAGGGGATGCACTCCATGGTATAGGGGAAGATAGGGGATGGACACTTAAACCGGATGTTATTTGGGAGGAGATAGGGGATGGACTCCATTAATACAGCAAATCTGTGTATCATTTATGAACTGTGGAAGTGTTTTAATATGTCATTGATACAGCAAATATGTGTATCTATTGTGAAGTATGGAAGTGTTTTGATATGAGTGTTATCTCATTTGAAAATGAA